CTTCCTTCCTTCCTTCCTTTTGTTTTTATTTATTCTGAGACATGCCTCTTGTCATCCAGGCCAGCTTGGAACTTATTTCATCCTGAGGAAAACCTTGAACTTCTGATCCTCTTGCCTCTACCATTTGAGGTTTATGCCGTGCAGCGGGTTTGTGTGTGCTGCACGGGACTCTCCCACCCGAGCCACATCCGTGCCCGTCTAGATTTCAGTTTTGAAGCAATAAAGCAGAGTACCCTCTAGCCGAGTGCACTAGCTTTCCAAACGACTCTGAAGCACAGGCCCAACAGAACCTCGACAGCGGCTGCCCTTCAGGTTGTCCTGACTTCTCTGCATGCGCTGTGCCAGACATGCACCCACACATGCATACACAACACACGCACAGCGAATAAATACAAATGTAACATTTTTAAATCAAAAGAACTCTAGCTATGTAAAGATATGTAAACATCCAAATGCCATTTTTAATACCTTAAGCAAATGTTTCTAGTCTTCTATTTGGCTCACGACTTTTGTGTTTGCTTGTTTGTTTGTCTTGTTTCTTGTGTTTTTAATGCTCGGGACTGATCACAGAGCCTCACATACGCCAAGCACTAAACTCCACCCTCAGACTTTATATTTCTTAATTTTTGTATTTGTTGTTCACATACATAGAGCTGGGTGAACGTTCCAAAGACTTCAACATGGGCCTTTTATCTTCTGCGGTGCCTGGCCAAGGGTTCTCTAAGGTCCCTAGCAGGCTTCCCATGAACCCTGGTCCTACCTCAGAATCCCATATACCAACAGCAGTAAAAATCATACCTCACTAGATTTCCTACTTTCTTGCTAGTCTAAAATTGTCATGTTTAGTAAATAAGAATCAAGACACACAACTGGGTTTGAATTTCATATAACAAATAACTTTTTAAGCACAAGTGTGTCCCATTAAACAACAAATAATTATTTCGGGAGCTACAGAAAGAACCCAAGGGGTCACGCATGCCGGACACCCGCTTTGCCACTGAGCCCTAGGAAGCCTCTTATCTCCACGTCCCCAGTGCTGGGATACAGACGCACATCGCCACGCCTGGCTTTTACACAGGCGCTGGATCTCACCTCAGGTGTGCGTGCTTACACACCCAGCACTTTACCAGCTAAACTATCTCCCTAGCTCCTAAGTTTTTCTGTAGATTTATATTGTACCACCAGAATGGCCTATAAATTGTGTGGTTTCATTGCACTATTCCTTATCATGGGCTTCTAGTGGTTAAGACTGAATGAATGGCAAGGGGGCTGGAGAGATGGCTCAGCAGTCAAGATCACTTGCTGCTCTTCCAGAGAACCCTGGTTCAGTTCCCAGCACCCACAAGTCATCTTGAATCTATGTATAACTCCAGTTCCATGCATCGAACGCCCTCTTCTGGCCCTGACAGGTACTTGCACTTATGTGTACATACCTATAGACACGTACACACAATGAAAAATAAAACTTTAAAAAATGTTTAAATTGAATGACATACAGAAAATGTAAGCAACAAAGGTATTTTGGGTTATATTTTAAATAAAGATTACTAAAAACCTTTAAATAGTCAAAAACTGGTCTGGAGAGATGACTCAGTAGGGCACAGACAGTTGCCGCCAATCTGACAACCTGAGTTCAATCTCAGGGACCCACAGTGTTAGGAGACAACTGGTTCCCTTGAATCTTCCTCTGACCTTCCCTCACTGTGACACACGAGCTGTGACACACATGCACCCACACACATATGTGTAACACATGCACACAAAATCAATACAGATGTAATACTTTTTAAATAACAATTACTCTAGCACTGTAAAGATATGTAAAAGTCCAAAGAACTATTTGAAGAAAAATACGCAAAACTCAGAGCAGCAAAGTGACCTGGGGTCTCCAATGGAAAGTGTAGCTCATGTAACTTCAAACTGAAAAGCAAGGCTCCTCCTTGCCCCCACCGTGTGCGGAGCCCAGGAGCGGCAGCCAGCATGAGTTACCTGCATACGGGTACTGGTATGGCACGGCATACGCCTGCCCGTTGGCGGCATAGACAACTTGAGTTCCTGCTGGGTATGCGCCACTGTATGGACCATAGCCGTAGACCTGGAAGGAGAGGAAGTCCCGTGAGAAATACAGTTTTGAGGGAGGGGCTGGTGGGATGACTCAGTGGGTAAAGGTGCCTGCCACCTAGCCTGATGACACGCTTTGTGTCCCTGAAACTCATGTAGTAAAAAGGGATGATCTGAGTCCTAGAAATTATCCTCTGTTAGCAATGATGACATGAACACACTTAAGTGAGCAGGGGTGCGTGGGGATGGAGAGGGGTGACATGCACGGGAGGTACTGGGGGGAAGAGACAAGAGATGATGTGATGAAACATACATACATACATACATGTATACAAACATACAAACATGTATCCAAACATACAAACATGTATACATACATACACGTATACATGCATACACGTGTACATGCATACATGCATATATAAACGGGTGTATCCTGACCTCCACAGGTGTGCTGTGGCATATCCTAGATTAGATAATGGAGATGTTGGTAACTCAGAAATCCCAATGAGTACAGACGGAAAAGTCGGGGAACAAGCCAGGAAAAGTTTGCTCTCTGTGCCCATAGAGCCAATAACTCCTCTACTCTGTGCAAACACTAAGAACCGACTGCAGGAACACCCTATTCCTGTCCCCAAAGGTCAGAGGTGGAAGGCCTAACCAGCATGCTCTACAACAGCCTCAACTACAACTACGGCAGCTACAGCAAGCCTCCCCTGCTCCCTTAGAGTACAGACAGGAAAGGATGCACATGGAGCAGGCACCCACTCTGCTATGCAGCAGACCACGGAGTGAACCACAGGGTCCACCTGTGCTGAGCAGAAGCAATCTGCCCTTCTTAACCCCTAGGAACCACTAAAGGCCTGGTGGGGAGTGGGTCAGCTGGCCAGACGCCATGCACCTGTCAGTGGAGAAGCCGAGCAGTGATCAGTAACAGGGATTCCTCTCTTCCCAGCAAGGTGCTCTGAGAGGACTCAGAAAACCTAAACTCCTGAGCTGGAACCCGGCCCCCGGCTGTGGGCTGAGAATCTGGACTTCTACCTGGCAAGACCCGAGTCTCACCGTGTTTAACATGTCAAGGTTCTGACCAAAATCACTTTTAGCACAAACAGCCATGATCTCAAACAAAATGACACAGACTAATGCCCACATGGAGACCGCAGAGATGTCAGTGTGAGGGCTGGGGTGCGGCTCAGTGGGCGGAGCTTGCTAGGCAAGGGAGAAAGGCTAGGTTCCAACCCTGCACCTGAGGGTGGAAGATGCTAGAATTATCTAGAAAGGATTTGTGTGTTGGTCTCTGGTATATAGACGGCTGATCTTTGTGTAACGTACGGGTGTGTGGGGGCAAATGTACATGTGTGGAAGGCGTACATGCCCGTGCATGCATCCAGAACCGGAAGAGGACACCAGGCGCATGCGCTCGAGTTTGCACCCACTCTTGCACTCTCCCCCTCACCCTCACCCCCACACCTTATTACCTTGAGACAATATCTCTTGCTGAAAAGATTTTTTTGTCCTTAAACAGTCTACTAGTTGGTCTAGAACTCTCTATGTAGGCAAGGCTGACCTCAAACTCACAAAGATCCACGTGCTTCTGCTGAGTACGAAGTTTAAAGGTGTCCACCATCATACTCAGCTTAGGAAAGGATTTTTTGAGACAGGGTTTCTCTGTGTTGCCCTATCTGTCCTGGAACTCAAACTGTAGACCAGGCTGGCCTCAAACTCATGGAGAACTGCCTGATTCTGCCTCTCGACTGCTGGGATTAAAGGCATGCATACCTGGCCCTCTGGAAAGGATTTTAAAGTAATTATTATAAAAATCTTTCAGTTAGCAATTATGAAATGAACATAGTTAAATGAAAAAAAAAACCTCTACCAAAAATAAAAACTTATAAGAAAAAAATCAGTATAATGCATACTATATATTAATATACAAAGAATACAAATTCTGGAACTATCTAGGGTGTGGTGCTGCATACTTGGAATCCCATAGTTTGGGAAGAAGAGAGAAAGTGATGGAGAGTTTACAGCACCCACATGGGGGCTCACAGCTGCCCATAACTCCAGTTGGAGGGGATCTGGTGCCCTCTTCTGGCCTCTGTAGGTACTGCATGTATGTGGTGCTCAGAGCTGCAGGCAAAACACGCATACACAAAAAATAAAATATAACTTTTAAAACAGACAGTTATATACAGCCACTTGAAAATAATGAGATATTTATAAATCTAATGAACATGTATTAAGTCATTATGCTGAAAACTGTAAAATGTTGATAAAACAAAACAAACTAAAGAAAGCCAAGAATAAAAGCAAAGAGAGAAATTGAGAAGTCCTCGAAGCTCAGGGCAGCAAACCAGACTTCGCTCTAAACATGATGCATTGGCTTATGGCAGCTTTGGTCAAAAACCTAGCAAGGTTTTGCAGTTAACATAGATAAACGGATTCAGGGCTGGCCAGATGGCTCATTGGATAAAGGTGCTTACCGCCAAGCCTGATGACCCAAGATTAATCTGCAGGACTCACAGAATGGAAGGAGAGAACCAACTCTCAAGTTGTCCTCTGACCTCTATCTGTGCACTGTAGATGTAGGTGCTTCATGTGTACACAGACACACACACGTACACACATGTACATACATGCTAACACACAAACACACACATACCTTAATTAATACATTTATAAACAGTGGGTGGGATAGCTCAGTGGTAAAGAATTTGTCTAGTATTATATGAAGCCTTGAGTTCAGTCTCTACAACAACAAATAACACACACACACACACATACACACATACACAACAGGTTTTCTGTTTATTTTGAGATAGACTCTCTAGATTAAGCTGTCTTCCTATATAGCCAAGAACGATCTTGATCTCCTAATTGCCCCGCCCCTACATCCGAAGCACTCAGAGGTGTGTTGCCAACCCCAGTTTACGCAGTGCTGGGGACCAAAACCTCCAGTTCAGTAGGCAAACGCTCCGTCAACAGAGCCACCAGCTCCAAGCGTTGCTTTATCTCATCTAAGCAAAGAGGAATACTCTGTGATAAAAAGGGAAGATTCGGAGTGTTAGTTCTAATTTCCCTGAGACTGACTTAAGATTAAGATCAAAACTACAACCAAAACCAGAAGAGACGAGACTAACAGCAATGGAAAAGCACCAGAGAGCCCGGCTTCCCTCATGTGGATGCTCTCTTCCCAGACCTCCCTACCTCAGGGGTCGGCGTAGCATAGGCTGCGTAGGGGGGCGGTGATGCGGCCACTGCGGTCTCTTCAGACAGGATTGGTGAGCCAACGTAAGCCTGTGGGAGACAAGACAGCTAAGACCAACAGCACATTTACTCAGCAAAGGAAAGATCACGAAGAGCTTCTCCTGCTAGTCCAGGGGCAGCCTAGAGCCTACTAAAACACCCTCTGAGCTCAGCAGCCAGTCCTGACTCAGTCCCTCGCCAGAGAGGAGCAGTTCTGGCCCAGGAAGTTGCCGAGGTGGCCCTGCCGCCGATGCCTTTTAGACCTCAGGCATAATCAGGAGTGCACCAGGAACATGCTCTACTGTAGTTCAAAACCTATGACCCAGTGAAAAGGAAAAAAAATAATAACTCTTCAAAAAACAAAACAACCCACCCGCAGAACTGCACAGAGATTTTGCTAACTGCATGTGCATGGATCACTGACACTAATTTCCGGGGCAGGGGCTATTCATGAAAGACAGGAGTGTGGGGTGAGTTCTCAGTTAAAGTATCTCTGGCCAACAAAGGCCGAGGACACTGGGCCTTTTGACTTTATTGGCCACTGGCACAAGTTCTCCTCTAAGCCTGATCTACTTTTCTACTTTTCTCTATAAATATATTGGAAACAACGGAGCCCCATCTAAGAATGAAAATGCCGACCACAGAGGTCTTGGGCACGATACAGGGACACAACAGGATTTATGGTTTCTCTCTCTCCTGTGGTGAGAATTAGTATCAGGGACACGGACAAGGACAAAAGGTCTTAGTGTTTTGAGGCTGAGATCTGTTTGTTTGTTTGTTTGTTTGTTTGCTTGTTTCTGGGAGGGTTGTTTGTTCTGTTTTGTTTCTTTAGTTGGTTGGTGTTTGTTTGTTTGTTTTGGCTTTTCGAGACAGGGTTTCTCTGTGTAATAGCCCTGGCTGTCCTGTGCTAGCTCTGTAGACCAGGCTGGCTTCGAACTCACACAGAGATCCACCTTTGCCTCCCAACTGCTGGGATTAAAACCACCATGCCTGGAGGATAAGATGTTATGGACGAAGTGGGCACCATGGTTCTCTTTGAACTTTTACTTCAAAATAGAGCAGAATTCAAGGTGCCACAAACCTGGAGAGAGATAACACTGGAATTGCCGGGCCTGGCTGAGGAGGGTATTGTCTTAGATTCTCACTACTCTGACAAAATAACCTGATGGGAGCAACTCAGAGGAGAAAGAGTTTGTTCTGATTTACAATTCTAGAGGAACACAGTCCATCAACGGTGGTGAAGGCATGGCAGCGGGCAGAGGAGGCGTGGCATCGGGCAGGGGAGGCGTGGCATCGGGCAGGGTGGGCGTGTCATCAGGCAGGGGAGGCGTGGCAGCGGGCAGGGGAGGCATAGCAACAAGCAGAGAAGGCAAGATAGAAGGAGCAAGAGGGAACTGGTCATGTTACATCCAGGATCAGGACTGAATAGAAGTCAAGTCAGGCTCAAGACAAATCCTCAGTGACCTGGTGACATCCTGTTTTCCAGTGAGGCTCCACCTAAAGATTCAGTAACTTCCCTAAACTACTCCATCAGCTGGCAACCAAGCTGCCAAGCAAGTTGAGTCTACAGGGACTGTTTCAAATCAGTAACTTCCCTAAACTACTCCATCAGCTGGCAACCAAGCTGCCAAGCAAGCTGAGTCTACAGGGGCTGTTTCAAATCAGACCACAATAGGAGCCTCTTATATCTGGTGATCACTGTCACCAAGAGGCACCCTGCCCTGCTCTGCTCAGGAAGCAAGTGTGTGGACAGGTCTCTTCCATTCCCCTCTCCCAGCCTCCTGTTCTCCAGTTTGTTACATACACAGACTCAGGATGTACAAACATAGCTGGAACAACCATGGGCAACTTACTGTGTTCGTTCTGGAATCCTGCAGTGTAAACTTCCATGCCCTGGAGAAAATGAAAAACAGGGTACTCAGAGGTAATCCAACATTCTAACAATTCTTAAATTCAGACAAGCCTCAGCATTCCTGGACAGGCTTCTGTATAAAGAGGGATGGCTACCTCATAATCCCAGCATTTAGGAGGCTTAAACAGGAGGACTACCGTGTGTTTTAGGTCAACCTGTGTTGAAGATTAAGACCCTGTCTCATACCACCCCATCCACACCAAAATAAACAAAATAAAACAGAACTTCAGGCCTTATTCCAAGACCCACCAAATCATCTCTTGCTCAAGACATGAACTGAGAAAGCATGTATGTTTAGAGAACAGATTTACAGTATATACAGCCTAAAACATAATATACAGTTTATTTTCATCTCTTTAATAAATGCAAATGTAGTTGGGCGGTGGTAGCACATGACTTTAATCCGGGACTCGGAAGGCAGAGGCAGGCAAACCTCTAAGTTTGAGGCTAGCCTGGTCTACAGAGCAAGATGCAGGGCAGTCAGGGCTACACAGAGAAACCCTGTCATGGGGAAAAAAAAGTGCAATGTTCTGTAAGTTGTCCCATCAGCAGCCAACACTGGCTTGAAACCAACTATGTAGTCCAGGCTAACCCCAAATACAAGATCCTCCCACCCCAGCCTACTGAGTGTGGGGATTCAGGGACACTTAACCCCTGCTTTACTTATAATGGCTATACCGTGTTCCCATGATACAGAGAGATTTTGATTGGCAGCTGTCTTAGACAGAATTATTACTGCAGTGATACAACACCATGAGCAAAAGCAACTTGGGAAACACTTCCACATCACAGTTCATTATCCAAAGCAGGTGGGGTAGAAACTCAAGCTGGAACCTGGAGGCAGGAGCTGATGCAGAGACCATGGAGGGTGCTGCTTCTTGGCTTACTCTCCATGGCTCGCTCAGCCTGCTTTCTTACAGACTTCAGCATCACCAGCCCAGGGATGGCCCCATCTAAAATGGGCTGGGACCTCCAGCATCAATCACTTGATTAAGAAAGTGCCTTACAGGCTTGCCTGCAACCCAATCTTTTTTTCTTTTTTTTAATAGCTTCATAGTTTTTACTTCATTTTAAAAAATGACAGCACAAATCCATCCTCAGGGAACAAAACACACTTATTTAAAATTTCAACAGTGTACAAAATTAAAGTTTGGAATTTGATCCCAGGTTTAACATGAGCATTACCTTATAAGGCAATTTCTTTCCTTTGGTAAATGACTTATTTGGCCAGAGAGAGCATAACTGGAAAAGTGCTTGCCTTGCAAGCTGGAGGACCTGAGTTCAAGCCCTAGAGTCCTCTAAAGAAAGCTGGATGTGGTGGCATATGCTTATAAATCTCAGCAGCAGGGAGGCAGAGCCAGGCAGAGCTGTGGGGGTTGCTAGCCAGCCAGTCTTGCCTATATGGCAAGTTCCAGGCCAGAGGAACCCTGTCACAAACGTAAAAAGGTGATGGATGGTGCCTGACGAACATCTGAGGCTGTCTTGTGGCCTCCACAAACATGGACACACACACACACACACACACACACACACACACAGAGAGAGAGAGAGCATATTAGAGTTTATATTATTCTGGGAGCAAGTCATCTCCTAACTCTTCATCAGCAAAGTCATCCTCGTCAATTCTTTTCTTGGCTGCAGTTTTTGGTCTTTCTATCTGAGGGCCCCGTGGATCTGCATAGGAGACATCGATTTCTCTGTTACCGCTGCTTTCATAAGGTTCATCTGTCCCAGGCAAAGCTCTGGGCTTGGCACTCCGTTCACTTTTACTACTGGCACTATGGTTCTGGCCACTGTCACTGCCAGTGCTCCCCTCTCGTTTGCTCTGAGAACCCCCGCCGCTGTCTCTGCCCAATTTTATGCGCTGTTCCCTCATTTCTTTCATTTTTCCCCAACCTCTTGAATTTTGTGGCTTATTCTCAAACTTTTTTTAATCCAATATCTGTGCAGAGACAGACCAAGAAACGCAACAGGTGACTGCTATAGACATGTGAACATCTGCCTCCATCTCCTCTCTCTCTCTCTCTCTCTCTCTCTCTCTCTCTGCAACCCAGTCTTATGGAGACATTTTCTCGACTGAGGCTCTTTCCTCTCCAGTGTCAAGCTTGTGCAAGTTGCAATAAAACTAGCCAGCAAACTGGCAACAATTTTACCATTGAAAAGACTGGTCCACACTGACCCTCTCCCATCTCTACAGTTCAAATGCTGGGATGACAGGTGTCCCCCAGTATGGCCTGCTTTCCCTGTACACTTCCTTATGAGGATTCCCAATGAACAGCTCAGCCAAAGGATGCACCCGTCTCAATAGATAGATAGATAGATAGATAGATAGATAGATAGATAGAGATACAGAGATACAGAAATACATACATACATACATACATACATACATACATACACACACACAAACACTTCCTTTCTCTTCACTTGATGGTTGGAGGAGACAATCCAGATTCCTTTCTCCATCTTTCCTCAGAGGTCTCTGCTATCATGGATTAAACTTTGTGCCTTCAAAAGACAGACTGAAGTTAGGATCCTCCGCACTGACAAGTGTGGCTCATCAAGAAATAAGGGCTTTGCACATGAAATCAAATGAAAATGGGGTCCTCAATCCAACATGTCTGGTTTGGGCAAGAGGCAGGCAAGGTGCCCACAGACACAGGGAATGGCCTTCAGAGGAGCTGACCTTACTTCTGACCACCAGGGCCCTGAGGCAGAAGCTCCAGCTTTAATTACCCTGTCTGTGGTGTCAGAACAGACTTAGACACTGGGTTTCCAATATACTCTGTGCTGTCTTTCTGACATCTTATTTCAGTTACATTCCTGATTAATAAACAGGATAAACAGCCAGACTTTACGTTTTCTGCCCATCGTCATTCCTTAGTCTTCCTTTTTCCTTCAATACTTTTATCACAAGTGTGTGTGTGTGTGTGTGTGTGTGTGTGTGTGTGTGTGTGTGTGTTTTAATTTGGAAGTCATTATTTTGTATACCAGAGAATGCATGTGGAGGTCAGAGGACAGCTTTCAAGAATCATTTCTCCTTCTACCTTGGGAAACTGGAACAGAATAATAAAAGTGAACTTTAGGAGTCACTAACTTCCAGTAATTTATCACAGGAACATAAAATAACCGATAGGTGTTACTTAGCCTGTCTGTGTTCCAATGTCTTGTGCCTGGAGCAATAGCCACGTTGTCGGACATGGCAAGGATTGAGCAGCATCTTCAAAGCAGTTAGGCAAATGCCTGGAGCAAAGCCAGTGTCCGGCTTTTGTCAGCTTAAATTGCTAAATGGCAATGCAGTTCTATTTTATAAAAGGAGCAAATTAGTCTGGCACTCGGCTGCTTCTCCATCGATCTGGAGGGAAGTCATATCTCTACCAGGATACAGCATTTAAGAGTCACTGACCGCACAGAAATTAAATAGAATTTGTGCAGAGAACAAGAATTGGATTGCCAGACACACATCAGTTAGATTGCTACCATTTGTAACTCCAGTTCCAGGGGATTGTGACACTGGCTTCTGGCCTCTGAAGGTACCCGAATATGTATGCACACACACACACACACACACACACACACACACACACACTTTTTAATCTTAATAAAAATTTAAAACATAAATCCTAAATAAAACTTTTTAAAAAGTTTATTCAGACACTGTGGCTAATACAAACACCGAGGATGCAGAGGTAAATGGATTTCTGCTGAGTTTGAAGTCTACATAGTGAGTTCCAGGCCAACTAGGGCTATACAGTGAGAAAACACTCTCTCTCTCTCTCTCTCTCTCTCTCTCTCTCTCTCTCTCTCTCTCTCCCTCCCTCCCCCT